CCCCCGTCCTACCTGGGGGAAAGGTGAGCAGTCCTCCGTGCCGGGTGGCATGGTTTTTCTGGTGTCAGGAAGCAGGAGAAGCCAGTGAGAGCAGCTTATCAGCTCTGCTGCCTTGCAAATCATTATATTTAGCTGGAAAAATAGAAGTAACTCCACAAAGTTCATTAATTCAGATACTTGGGGTTTAACTGTGCCTCTGAATCGTCCTGCTTTACCCCCCCCCCCAACACACCCCCCCGGAACAGGGTTGGATGTGAAGTTAGCTGCAGCACTTGGGTCCTCCTCCCGGCCTCTCCCGGGGCTGTGAATCTGGGCCACGTGTTTGGCCTTTCCCCAGGCCTTGTTTTGTAGTGGCATTGTGAGCGTTGTTCCCGACGGGTCTGCAGAGCTGCCCTAGAAGGCACCTTTGCTCAGTGCCCCACATGGATACGGGTCCAGTGTCGATTTGTGTTGGAGTGCCAGGAAAGGTTTTTGCACTTCAACTTGCTGTACTTCTTTCTTACACAATGTAAGATCCTGTTGCAATTCACGTTTTGCCTCCATTTCCAGGAAATTCAAGAGAGTACTCCGTTAAAATCTTTTTTTTTTTAAATACTTTTTAAGTCTATTTTGAGGGAGAGAGCAAGTGGTGTAGGGACAGAGAGAGATGGGAGAGCGAGAGAATCCCAAGCAGGCTCCGCACTGTCAGCGCAGAGCCCAATACGGGGCTCGAACTCACGAACCGCGAGATCGTGACCTGAGCTGAAATCAAGAGTCGGACGCTTAACCCACTGAGCTCCCGGGCACCCCAAGAGTACTCAGTTAAAACCTTGAGTTACTCCTGCAGTTACATGTGGATTTCCCCTCTGAAATCCCAACTGAAGTCTTCAGTATTATTCCCTGTAAAGAAACAGTTTCCTTTTTTAATTTTTGATTTTAATTTCCTGATCTTTTTAACGTGTCTCTAATTTTTAGTTTAGAGATAGAGCAATTTCCAGTTTCTGGTCTTGCAGAATTTGAAATAATCGCTTTTAATTGTTTTATGACCTGACTCTTTTGTAGTGGTTAGTACAAAACGTGCCAAAAATTATTTTCTACGTTGTCGTTTCGGCTGATTTTTTTCTATCCCAGTGAATTCTGGACCAGAGCCAGCGTGCTAGTAAGGTCGCGCTGCCTGTGAATCAGTCCTGTCTCTGGTCTGGTTCTGTCCCCTCGGAACCACGTGCAGCCGCGTGCCAGTGGTAGAGACCAACTGCTTTCGTTTGTAGGAACTCCCAGGAGGCTACGGCCGTGTGAAGCCCGATATTGTCACCTACGGTGCCGGAGTGAGGGGATCCGGTGTGAAGGGGGGCTGCCGAGCCCTGTCGGGGACCAGCGTGGCCTCTCCGGTGGTCGCCGGGGCGGTCACCTTATTGGTGAGGTGAGTGGCGCCCAGCGGAGAGAACGTGATACTGGCAGACCACGAGCGGAGTCGCGCTCGTCACCAGCTTGGGTTTGAGGGTTGGGAGCGCCCCGCGAACCTTGCTGCGCCTCTCTGTCCCCATGTCCACCCTGTTCCGTGTAGGGGACACGTGGCAGAGGTGACAGGCGTGTGAACATCCTGTGAAGTGTGATCGTGAGGCAGTGTGTGAGGACACAGTGCCTGCTACCGTGTTTGTGTCTGTTTTTGTTCTGGCTCGTTTCTGTTTATTATTTTTGAGAGCGCAAGCAGGGGAGGGGCAGAGAAAGGGAGGGAGGGAAGGAGGGAGAATCCACGCGGGCTCCACGCAGTCAGTGCGCAGAGCCTGATGCGGGGCTCGAACCCGTGAAGACTTGAGATCGTGACCTGAGCTGAAATCAAGAGCTGGATGCTTAACCGACTAAGCTACCCAGGCGCCCCTGTTCTGGTTCGTTTTGTTAAAGACTTGTGTTTTAAGAGTGGTTTTAGGTTCACAGCACTATGGAGGAAGATCTGGGATTCCCCATGTACCCTGGGCTTCCTTTTATTTTGTTTGTAACGGACTGAATTTGTGCCACAGTTGTAGTTGTTATATCAGAACGAGTGTATATCAGGCAGGGAACAAACAGATACTTTCCTGCCATATTCCTCATTTCCTTGAGGATCACTTCTTAACGTCCTCTGTTAGCTAAGGAGCTGGCTCATCAGGCGGTGGGACTGACAGTTTATGTAATTTATTTATTCTCTGTCTCATTGAATCCCTCATCGCTGGATTAGAGCTTAGTGTTTGTTCCTTGATTCTGCACATATTGAAATTGGAAGACTTTCTTAAAGACCATTGACCAGAATTGACACTCACGTGCTTTGACTTAGGTGGGCTGTGTTCCTTGTTCTCAAAGCTACAAAGAGATGTCTTTGGAGCTAGAATATATTTTGTATTTTCCCCTCAGATCACTCTCTACTTAGATGAGGCTTTAGCTGAGCTATTGTATTGTGGTAATGGGAAACTGTATATTTGAAAGTTACTATATTCTGTGTTTAAAATTAAAGTAAAACAAGAAAATGGTAGTAAACGTTTTTATGTTTAAAATCCTCTTTAAAAAGTTACTGTTGAGTTTAGCTTCTAATGCCTGGGATTTTTTTGTGTTTTAATTAGTCATCTTTGATAAAGGTAGATTTCCAACTCCGTTCTCCTCTTCCCATCCTCTCCTTAGGGGTCAGGGCCAGATTCCTGAAAACGCTGACCCTGGCCAGAGTGGTCTCTGGGGAATAACCATACGCGTGCCAGAAACCCTCTTTTTTTCCCAGCTGTTTCCTTCACCCTCGTTGCATGCAGGAAGGAGGAGGGGAAGGCAGGTGGACTGTGGGTGTACCAGGTGCGCTCGGGTTTGCACGCTCAGTGGAGGGGAACGTGTCTCTAGGGCTCCTCGTGGCCACCCTGGTGCTTATGGGAACAGAGACCCTGGCTCCGTCCCCGCCAGCTGTGACTGCGGCCGGGGCTGAGGTCTCGGCCGCACTGCTGACCCCGGCACACCCCTCCCCGTGAGGCAGGCGGGGAGGTGGGGGACGAGGCTTCTGTTTCTGGCAGCTTCTCTAAAGACAGCTGCTTCCAGCATCAGAGACGCCTTTTGCTTTCCTTCTGCCCCTGCGGCAGATAAAAGTGCCACTTGTGGGAGCTCAGAAACGTGCCTGGGGCGTGTCAGCTCGCCTCCAGCCGCGCAGCGCTCCGGAGGAAGCAGGACCTGGCTGTTGGTCTGGCCTGTTCACGCTGGGGTGGGGGCTTGTGACGGCTCCTGAACTTCTAGCAGCCCTTTGTTCTGTCATTGAGGGTCCACCCTGGGCACCTGGGGGGCTCGGTCGGTTAAGCGTCCGACTTCGGCTCAGGTCACGATCTCATGGTTCATGGGTTCGAGCCCTGCGTCAGGCTCTGGGCTGACAGCTCAGAGCCCGGAGCCTGCTTCAGACTCTGTGTCTCCCTCTCTCTGCCCCTCTCCTGCTTGCGCTCTGTCTCAAAAATAAATAAACCTGAAAAAGAAAAACAGTCCATCCCATCTCACCTCCTCTTTCTCTGCTCACCTCAGATTTTCCATCCAGGGCTATCAAATTCCGCCCGCACTTCCAAGACCGGCCACCATCGTAGAAAGATATTCACAAACTGAGGAAAGTCTGTTTTCCTTTGTACTTGGGAGTTAAAGTTTACTTGTACGTACGACACACAGACATACAAAAACGAGCGTGTTAATGTCCTGATCGTTGATGCCCGTGTGTTACTAAGTTCCTGGCTGGGTAGAGCCGTGCGTTCTTTTGTCCAGGTGCGTTCTGATGACGCAGGGCTCCGGCCGGCCTCAGGTGTGGCTGGTTTTGTCGGGCCTGGTCCACCTGTCGTGTCTGGCACACAGGCCTCCAGAACAACGAAGGTGGGCCGAGGCCATTGGCCTCCTCAGGTGCTGGGCCCTGGCCGCGTGCTGCAGACTGCTCTCGGGGACCCGTCTGTTTTCCTTTCCTTCTGCCACCAGGGGATGTCCCAGCTTGTCTCCTTCCTTTTGCCAGCAGGCCTCCCTTCCCCGGGGGAGCCGGTAACTCTTACCTGTTCTTGCCTCCTGTGACGACACCCTCTGAGGTCTGTTCATTTGAGTCGTGGGGAACATACGTGTCCCTGATAAATTTAGGATAAGCCGTGTGGGAGGCTCAGAAGGAGTCAGTCCTGAGACAGGTGCAGGAACAAGCACATGTCCTCCGTCTCATCCTGCCCGAGCTTTTCCCACAGAAGCTCCCATTGTAGGCAGCACAAGGTCCGAGGCCACGTGTTTGCATGAACACACATTAGGGGTCGTCCCATGCCCCTCCTCCTCCTGAGCGAGCGTGAGCAAACACGTGACCTTCCCTCCAGCACAGTCCAGAAGCGAGAGCTCGTGAACCCGGCCAGCATGAAGCAGGCCCTCATCGCGTCCGCCCGGAGGCTTCCAGGTGTCAATATGTTCGAGCAAGGCCATGGCAAGCTGGATCTGCTCAGAGCCTATCAGATTCTCAACAGCTACAAACCGCAGGCAAGGTCAGTGTGCCTCCTTTAGTTAGGCCTTTCCTCTTTCCTGGGCTCTGCGGGTGCTTCTCCCTCCGCATAGGATATCAGCCTCAGACCGGGAACCGATCACTGGTCACATGACATGGGACCCTCAGGTGGCGGGGGGGCTTCACGCTGCTGCTTCCGCAAGGGGGCTGCCCGGCCGCGCTTGGACCGCCTTCCACATCCTCACGTTCTGTTACTGATAACGCAGATGGTTTAAAGTACTGATTTGCCAACTTCTTTTTGTTTTATTTTTTTATATTGTTTAATGTTTATTTTATTTTTGAGAGAGAGCACGAGTGGGGGAAGGGCAGAGAGAGAGAGGGAGACAGAATGTGAAGCAGGCTCCAGGCTCCGAGCTGTCAGCGTGGAGCCCAGCTCGGGGCTAGAACCCACAAACCGCGAGATCATGACCTGAGCCGAAGTCAGATGCTTAACCGACTGAGCCACCCAGGCGCCCCTCTTCTTTTTACTTCTAAAGCTTTCTTTTGAAATAATCTTAGGTTTGCAGAAATTTGTGAAACTGGTAAAGCGTTTGCCACGTACCCTTTACCTGGCCCCCGCGACGCCAGCACCTTCGCTGACGGTACTTTGCCCGTTAAAGCCAGCGAAGAGCCCTGTGCTGCGAGGGACCCACGGACTTGGCCCCCAGGCGACCGGGCCCCGGTGCTCCATGTCCATTCGGCCAGCGTCCAGGCCTGTGCTCGTTGCCCGGCCTGCCCGGCCTCCTCCAGCCTTGGCTCTCTGTCCTTTGCTGTCACTCGTGACTCTGGCGCCTTGGGGAACGCTGGTTACTCCTTTGTAGGCAGCCTGCCTCTCGATGGAAGTTTGTCTGATGCTTTCTCACGATTAGTTTGAGGTTACGTGTTTTTGGTCAGAGTTGTTTTTTGCTTTTAATTTTGAAATCTTCATTTGAAGCTGTTAGATGCACAACACAGTTTCACAAATAGTGCGCGAGGACTGCATCTGACATGATGTGGTGCAGGCCTCAAAGCCTGGAGATGAATGTTGCCCTGAGACCATGCACTGATCTCCAGACTGTGCTCAGATTTCCCCCACTGTGCACCGCGGTCTTGTTCCGGGTGCAGGATCGGCCACTGTCCCGCGGTGCGTCTGGCGGGCCCGTCTCCCCGGTCTCCCGTGGGGATGCTTCCTCGGTTCCCGTTCCTGTCATCGCCGGTGGTGTCCGTTGGCATCATGGGATGGAGGCGGTCGCCAGGGTGGGGGCGGGGGGTGATGTCCAGGAGATCGGCTGCGGGGAGGGGACAGGAGGAGTCCGAGCGCTGCGCAGCACAGGTGTGAGCGTGCGTCTGCCGGCGGGGAGCTCTTAAAGCAGAGCGGCCCGGTGGAGGAGCCTGTGCCCCACGGGACGCGCCCGCTCCGGTGCCCCTGTGTTCAGCCCTGGCGGGGAGCGGCCGAGGGTCCGTCAGCCGTGCTCCTGCGGCGCGTGAGCAGCGAGGGCCGGTGGCCCCGTTGGTGACCCCTGCCAGGCTTCTCTGCTGGGTCACCGCCTGTGCCTCTGTGACTGCTGAGTGTCTCGTGCGGACGCGCTTTGAGATGATCTCGTTCCTAACGTCCTTCGACTCATGTGTTCTCGCATCCGTGGCTGGTTCTCGCCTGTAGCAGTCTTGCTGTAGAGACCGCCTCGTGGTGATTTTCTGTTTTTCTCATTCCTTCCATGTTCGTCCGTCGGCATTCTCCTCTGAAGAAAAGCTGTCCCGTTTCTCTCCTTTACTTACTTACTCAGTTATTTATATCCGTGTGGGCCCTTGGATATTTAGTTTACTCTCTGGATTGTGGTGTGTTAGTCATTGTTGATCTTGCTGCTCAGAAGTCCCGGATTTGGCTCCCGGAGGCTCCTTGTAGCTGGCTGCTGTGCCTTTGCAGCGTGTCTCCCTCGTTGGAGCGCTTTGTCACTTTTTGGCAGCACGGGATGGTCACACGCTTCCAGCCCCAAGGCTTGGTGTTCGTTCTCGCTCCACGCGGCCATGGCCCTTCGATGGGAGGGCGCGCTCGGAAGCAGGGCCCGGCAGCGGTGCGTTCCCGGCCCCTGTGGCCGTGGTGGCTCCATAGGCCCTCTCAGCGCACGGCCGTCCGCACGCCGTCTGCGTCTGTCCACGGTTCTCGTCCCAGGCTTCCCTCCCCCTACGTGGAATGGCTTTCTCCGCCACGTCACCCACAGAAAGTTTACCTATTTGCCCAGTCCTCGGAATCCATCCCGGGTAGTTTGAGAATTGCTGCCCCCTCCTTGTGTGAAAGACAGATGTCCTGACTCGAGTGCAGGACTTGTGTCTAGTCCTCACCTGTGGCTTCCCAGCTTATGGTCCTGCTGTGCCCCAGGGCTCCTTGGGATCCTTCCTTCCGCCCGTCAGTGGCGCTTTGCTGTTCAGTTTTAATACAGTTGAGTTCATTAGTTTGTGTTTCTTTGTGGGAACCACCCCCCCCCCCCCCCCCCCCCCCCCGCCCCTCGTGGTTGATTTCAGCGAGTTGTGTGTCAGGACGCGAGACCTCACCCTGGCTCTGCCGGCAGAGGTGTGCACAAAGGGCCCCGCCCACCCCTTCTGTCCCTGCTCCCACCCCCCAGTCTCTCCACCCTGACTGTGGGTGACAGTCTCGTTAGTTTGGGGTTTGTCCCTCTTGTATTTCGTTTTGCACAAATGAGCAGATACACATTTATGTTCCTACATCCCTTTTCTTACATTAATAAGAGCATCACTGCAAGTGGTTTTTTTTGGTTTTGTTTCTTTTTTTTTTTTTTGCACTTTGCTGTTTTCACTTCACAGTACTTGGAAATCAGTCCGTGTCAGTCCATCTTTCTTCTTTTTACAGCTGCGGAGCACAGATGGTATGTGTGCTTATGTGGGTATTTACGTTACTTCGGCTATTTTGTAATCATAAGCTGTTGCCATGGATGTTATTGTGCCGGTGTGATTAGTTTCGTCGGAGGTGTGTCTTCAGGAAAGTTCCTCGAGGTGGGATCGCTGGGTCCCAGTAGAAAGCGTGGGTGGCTTTGTGAGGTCCTGTCCTGCTCCCCGTAGGAGGGTTGTGCCCCAGCCCCACGGGAGCGCACATACGTGACCCAGAGCCCAGCCACAGGATGTCCTGTCGCGCTCTCCTTCCGGCCAGTCGGGGGGCGCAGAGGGGCTCATGGCCGCTTTCACGTGTGTACCTCCCATTCTGAGTGAGGGGGACGCTGCGTTCACGGTGAGGGGCCACATTCACACCTTTCTTGTCAGTTGTCTGTTCATGTCTTTTTCCCGTTTTTCTCTGGGGTTTTTTTCCCTCCGTTTCTAAGAGTTCTTTACAAGTAGAGTTACCGACTCTTTGTCAGTGCTAGACTGCGGTCTTCCTCTCCGTGTGTCGGTGCCTTTCTACTTGTGTGCATTGTTTGTTGCTGTTCAGTGTGTTTTTCCAGTCGCCACGTCGGGCAGGCTCTTGTTATTGGAGCCACAGAAAGCTTCTCTCTGCACTAACGTACGAGGATGCCACCCACGCCTTCTCCTCCTGTGTGTTTGCTTTCCTTTGTGTGCTGGAGACTCTCGGGTACGTGTGCAGTTTATTCTTGTGCGTGGTGTGAAATACGGATCTAGCTTTATCTTTTGCCACGTGGCCACCCGTTTGTGAGCTCTGTTTGTTAAAAAGTCCGTCTTTGCCCCAGTGATTTGCGAGGCCGTCACTTGAGACCCCGGGTCCAAGGTGTTCACCGGGTGGTCACGTACTCATTGTCTGGCCGGCCACGGCCTCTAGAGTTCTAGAAGGGTGGAAGGAAAGAGGTGTTCCCCGCTCATCCGGCTGCGCACGAGCAGTGTGGGCAGCCCAGCCTGGTGGCCTCTTGGCCCAGGGAGCGTTGCAAAGCCGGTTCCCTGGTGCCAGCCCGGCCCTGCTGCACGCAGCCCTCAGGTGCCTGTGCCGACGCGCCCCCGCGGCTGTAGCGCTTCTTCGGCCCTTTGGTGACGCGCCCTGCTCTGACGCTGTGTTCTTTGTTTCAGTCTGAGCCCCAGCTACATAGATCTGACTGAGTGTCCCTACATGTGGCCGTACTGCTCCCAGCCCATCTACTATGGAGGGATGCCGACAATCGTCAACGTCACCATCCTCAACGGCATGGGCGTCACGGGAAGAATTGTAGACAAGGTGACACTGCTCTCTCGCTTGTGGTGAACTTTGATATGGCCCAGCCTTTGTGCCTTGTCCCTTTCTCCTGACGTTAGAGGACAGGTTCTCTGCGCCCATCCAGGCTGCCAGGGTGTTGGGCGCAGTGGTTTGTTTTCTCCTGAGTCCTTTATAGATAAGCTCGGGATAAGGTAATGGAAGCAGTCTGCTACTTTGTGACTTTGGCCTCTTGAATTTGGCTCCTGAATAGACTAACTGCACTTGATTCTTCATTAAAATTTCTCACCCGTAATTAGCGGTCCCCCGTAATTACCGTATTCTTGAGTGAGCGTGAGTGGGCCCCCGCGTTGAAAAGGTGTGTTCCTTTCTTGAATTTTGTCCCTATAATGTGTCATACTTGTTGCATAAACATTATCATAACAGTAAAGGACGAGAAAAGAGAACACAAAAATCACTCCCAGCCCCAGCACACGAGCATAGCCACTGTTTGTAAAACATTCTTTTCCAGGCCTTACCTGAAGGACGTGTTTTTGTTCTCTGTGCAGCAGATAGAACTTAAGCCCCCCCCCCTTTTTTTTCAGCTCTCATTATATTGTAAACATTGTTAAATGTAACTTATGCACAGCCCCAAGGTACCTGGCTAACAGCTGTGTAGTATTACATAGAATTATTCAGTCATAATTTACTTACTACCTTTTTAACCGAAAACGCTTTTATTTTAGCCTTCAGGGAGCAATCTGTTCTTCTTTTTCAAGATAATCATGATTAGCTACAAAAATGGGCATTTACAATGCAGCTTTATATAATCTGAACGTTAAAGGTTGAACGAAATTGGTTTAGTTGTCGTTATAAGAAAAAACAGTCTAGCACAAGTCAGGGAAATCCATTCATACTTGGGTCTTTGTCGTCAGCATTGTTCCAGTATTTCCATTGAGCAAACTCTGATCTAATTTAGTAAGCCTTTCTTCCCATGTGATTTGGTACAGAGTTGTCAGTAGCACCTGGGTGGCTCATTTGGTTAAGCATCTGACCTAGGCTCGGGTCAGGATCTCGCTGTTCGTTGAGTTCGAGCCCCACATCAGGCTCTGTGCTGACAGCTCGGA